CCCCAAAACCCCAAAACCCCAAAACCCCAAAACCCCAAAACCCCACAATGTGAGGGTATAACTGAAGTCTGGTTATAATATTTAAAAATGTCAAAGTTCAGGATTGGAAATTACCGACTTGGTAAACTCCTCGGCTATGGAGCATTCGGAATCGTCCGGCTTGGGATGAATGAAACTACTAGGCAAGAAGTAGCTGTGAAAATCCTAAATAAAAGGAAAATCAGACAAATGAAGGCTAAAGATAAAACTTACAGAGAAATCCATTTGTCAAAGATGTTCAATCATCCTAATGTTGTCAAGCTTTATGAATACTTTGAGACCAAGGAGGATATATATGTTATCTTTGAATTTGTCCCTAACAAGGAGCTCTTTGGGTATATATCTAATAATGGCTCCCTGGAAGAAAATGAAGCAAGAAAGCTATTCCAGCAACTAGTTTTCGCTGTTGACTATTGACACAGTCTCGGAGTGGCTCACAGAGATATTAAACCTGAAAATATTTTGCTTGATTACCATAATAATATCAAGCTTGCAGATTTTGGGCTTTCTAATTTCATGAAAGGAGGGAGAGCTTTGAGAACTTCTTGAGGATCTCCAAATTATGCAGCCCCCGAAGTTATTTCTGGAAAGATTTATGATGGTACTGAAGTTGATGTATGGAGCCTTGGAGTAACTCTGTATGCAATGCTTTACGGTGAACTTCCTTTTGATGACGATTGAGTCAACACAATGTTCAAGTACATCAAGGAAGCCAAGTACTACATGCATGGGTCTGCAAGCAAAGAAGTGAAAGACCTTCTGAATAGAATGCTACAGCCTAACCCCTTCAAAAGGATAACGATTCCCGAAATTATACAACATCCTTGGTTCCAGGCTCAACATTGGCAAATAAAATATTATGATAGATTCTTACTCCAGGTGATTCATGGAGAGGAATCTATAGACCAAGAAATCATTGATGAACTCTTCAACTTAAAGCTCAAATTGAACCCTAAAGACAGAGAAAAGATTGAAAAAGCAATTTCTAACGGAGAAAAGTACGACTTCTGCATTGCTTATGAATATCTGAAGCACTCAAAGATGCTTCAAAAGTTTGAGGTAAGCCTACATTAGAAATCTTTCAGAATTTATTATCCGAATCTTTATGCGACATCTTTCCACACTTTATAAATTTATTAAGTAATGTAATATCAGTAAGTCCTTCAAGACTTATCTCTAAGCTAGTTAGTGGGAAATATCTTTTCTTAACAAGAGAGAAGCCTCCAAAGCAAGAACTTTATTAAAAATATCTAATAATACAAGTTTTTTTGTGTTAATCTACTTTAGAAGAGTCTGAGGTAAGCCTCTAGATGATGTCGAAAGTTTTTTTTACTGTGATTCTTATCTCTACACCTCCGATACTTCATAAACAAAGGAGGTTTAGCAAGTTTGCTTATTTTTCCGGGATAATGCATTTGAAAATGGTCAACTAATACTAATAGAATATTTTGTTCGCAATGATACGATACCGACGTTGTTAGGACGACGATTTTCCTAAAGCGTACTCTTAATAACTTCTAAAGTCCTCTAGCCTGTAGAGTTTAGTACATAAAGGTTGAATTAGACTGAAAAAGGTAACCCAAAGTATTGATATAAATGATACCTTCTTTTATGGAAAGTTATGGCTCAAACTACAAATTTTCCTACTTAGTACAAATTGATCCATATATCGCAATATGGTTTGAAATTAATGTATTCCCCACCAGAGATCATAAGAAAAGAACAAAAAGTCCTTCACTTTGTTTAAAATTCTGGAAATGCTCTTCCAATAATAAGTAAAGCCAATGGTCTGATACCTGATTTGTAGGCCTGGAGCATGACTGGGATAGCCATTTCACCAGCTCTTTTCTAGAAACACATTCCTTCTTTATTTTCGCCTTTCTAATTATTGATGAAATTTGTAAAATTATTAAATAAGAAAGTAAATATGGGACAAGTGTTAACCTTTTGTTAAATTTTATTTATAGAGCTTAAAAACAAAGCCGAAAGAAGATCTCAAGTTCGATAAATCACTTCTGCTGAAAAACTCTAAAAACACCGTGAAGCATATAAATGACGTACACCAAAAGCTGGAATCATTTGATCGGAACTGAGACCAGCCTATTCCTGGTGAGATGAAGGGAGAACAAGAAGTAGGAATCATTCCTCATTCCCCTTCATTCCAGACAAATTTCTCTTCAATTCTGGATACTACGACTTGTCCAGAAGCTTCCGAAGCTGAGAAGGCCATCGGGTTTGTCATTAAAGGATCTATGGATGAGGTTTACAAGCAAGTTTTCTCCAAACTCAAAGAGATGAACATTATCTGGAAGAAATGGAACTCTGACTTCGTCTACAAGTGTCAGTCAGGAATTCCAATAGTAGAGGGCGAGACGACTGAAGAGAGACAGGATAAATTTAAAGAGCTGTTTGAGAACGATATGATAAAGTTCTTCCTACAGTTTTCTACCTTTACTAAGAAAAAGGGACTTGTTGACTTGAATCAATCAATCAAGCATCAGTACCAATTCCTTGTATCCTTTATATGGATAAAAGGCCCGACAATGAAGTATTTAGACTTTGTTTCTAATTTACAATTCAGTTAATAAGTTTTAGCATGACGACTCAATAATCATTAAGAGATACGGGGTTTTGGGGTTTTGGGGTTTTGGGGTTGGGG